GAAGGAAGGAAGGAAGGAAGGAAGGAAGGAAGGAAGGAAGGAAGGAAACTTGGTAACATGTTTCCCTCTGTCTCAATAAGATTTGCAAGAAAAGAACATACCGGTCTGCGGAAGTAGGTCTGCTCCTGGGCTTTGGAACTGGAGGGCTGAGCTCAGGAAGTTTACCTGTTCCAGAAATGAAGAAGACATAATTGTGGGTTACTCTCTAAAACCACTTCCAAAATCATTACACTGTGCGGGTTTTTTTAAAGTATATTCTTTGCCTTTATGCCTAGGAACGAAAGCTTGGCTATGTATCTATTCAGTATCTTATATTAAAGGAGAAGTTTTTCTGGAAGAAGATACACTGTCTCTTATTTCTGGACTCTATCATAATTCTTTGGCACATGCTTAAAAGCCAGAGACCCTTTGGATGTATAGTACTATAATGCACATAATGCACATAATCCCAAATGGGATGGCCACTGCTGGTAGGGAATGATGGGCATTCTGGCCCAACTAATGGAAAAGCTCTAGCATAATTTTTTCTTAGAAAACTAAATAATAAGAAAAAAAAATCCATGAGTATATACACATCAGTATTCCATGTTTCTATAAAAGACACATTTTTCTTACTTTGACATGGCCTCAACATACAGGATTACAAGGAGTCCAGCTAGAAGGTTTACATGACTGCCCATGTTTCCTTACCATTGACCAAATCAGATGGTAGCTCACTGGAACTCTCATTTGGCATATTGGCTCTGGGCCTTGGGACAGGATATAAGCTCAGTGGCGACAGGCTGGCTGGGTCTGTGCTCCTCCGAGGGGCAGGGGTAGGTCGAGGCTCTTTGAGATGCCCATGTTGCAGGCTAACTTTTTCTTGGATAAGTGTTGGTGGCTTGGTTGGTATAGGTGGCTTGGGAGGCATCTGTAAGCAAGAGCCAGAATTGGAAGTAGAAGTGGGCACTTCATTCTTTGGCTGGGTACAAGGTGTCTCAAGTTCTGTGCTTACTTCACCAACAGTTCTTTCCCCCATTTTGCCCATCTCTTCCACAGCTGATGAGTGACTTTCTGATACGCCATTCTTTTCTTCCATCTCATTACTCACTGTCCCAGCTTCTGTACTTTCCTTTCCAAGTAGAGGTTCTGGAGTTAGCTGGTTCTCAGTCCTCTCACTCAGTTTGCTCAGCTTACCACGATGCTGGGTACATACAAATGTGCCCAATTCAGGTCCAGCTTTGTAAGATCCAGGAATGAGTGTGCTAGAGCACTCCTTGCATCTGCCAGAGACATGAATCCATGATCAAAAGAAAAGACAAAGAGGAAAACTTTCAGGTTCTTGCTTGCCTTTCGATAACAGGAAGACCCCAAGAAAATAAAATTCAATCTGTGATTTTGCTACAGATTCACTTAGAGATTGGAAAAATACTTATCATTTTTATCAGTTCCCATCATCTCCACTTTTAAGCAAGAGCAGATGGGTGGTAAAAGTTTTGCCCCCCCCTCCCCCCCCCCCAATATTTCTTGTTATTAAGCTCATAATACTTTGTGTGGCTATATTGTAAGCCTCCATCTCATTTTCCCTGGAAAGCTTCTCTTTATTGAATTAACACATCCCATCCTAATTTCCTTTATGTGACCTTACTGCTTGTAGAAATTAAAATCCACAATTATTCTTCAAACTGAATGACATGGAAAACTGTTTTTTAAAGCTGGATTTACTGAATTGCATTTATGTTTTGCCTTTTCTCTGAGAGCTCAAGATTATGTTAAGAGAGTAAAGTGGGATGTTTCCCCTAATTTTATCCCCACAACAACAATCTGTGATGTTAAGCTGTGACAGCTCCACAATAAATAGTCAACTCTCTGATCTAAATTCAACTCCTTAACCACTGTGCCTGAGGATTTAGGTTTTAGGTTTGCAACTCAACAAGTCTCGTAGAGCTGGAAATGGCACAACTGAATCTCTTAGTACAGTACATTATATTCCCGTATTAGACAGTCCAAAAAAACCAAAACAGAAAAACTCTATTTCTTTCAAAGGTACAAATTATGGGATCCACTTCAGCCTAGAAACTGGAGGTGATTTTATTTTATTTTCTGTTTTTTAAAAACAAGTAACTTGGTAACATAGTAAACTGCAAGGACATCATGGCCTTGAAAGGATTGAAAAAGGAAGAGATGTTCTGTTACCCTGGCACAACTACAGACCTTTTATACAGGACTACAGATGAGAGACCCGTTTTCAGTGGACTTGGATAGGAAGAGCTCACCTGAAACACTGACGGTGGTAAAGTTTGCCCTCAGCCAAATAGCGCTGAACCAGGTGAACGTGTTTCTGGCAAGCTGCACAAGGGCTGGTAAGGGAAGTATGCGAGGAATCCTCTCCCAGGCTTTCAGTAACACTGTCCTGAGGCAACAAGAATTGAGACAAGAATGTCTCCATGAACTGTGATTTTTGCAGACTTGAGACCGAGAGTTGGCCTTTTGGTTAAGGATATGAAAGACACAAAAACATTTAGAATAATCTTTTTTTAACCCCTCTCTCAAAGTTGCTATGCTGATGAAGGTATGGTAGGATTTTTTTTTTACAGTGCCTCAAAATGATGCTTATAAAATGCTGCCCAGAGTTGTTTTGATATAAGATGGGCAGCAAACACATGTAATAAATGAAGAAAATAAATAAAATAGTTATAAATTGATTAGATGCCATCTGACAACCATGACTGACACTTTTAAGAAAACTCTCAAAATTTATTTATTCATTCAAAAGTGACTATTTTGTTCAGAGATGCAATCGTAGCTGGCCTTTTAGCATTTTGGAATGGTTGTTTTACTTTTTGCCATTTTAACGTTGAGAGCTGGTGAATATTAATATTGGTCTGATTTATGTTTTGTTTCTTTGTGTGTGCATTAGTCATCCTGGACAAGTTTTACTGTAAAAACATTATTTTACAGTTTTAAAAGAAAGCAATATAATTTGGGATATCCTTTCCCCCCCTTCCATCCAATCACATCCAATTCTCAGAGAAGTCCCTGTGGTTTTCTTGGCAGAACTGGTTTGCCATTGCCTCCTTCCTAGGGATGAGAGAACGTGACTGGCATAAGGTGATCCAGGTGGCCTTGTATCTAAGGGAAGGGAGGGATTAGAGGTTACAGTCTCCCAGTTTCTAGACTGATGCCTTAACCATTACACCAAACTGGCTTTATACCCAAACATCATATCCTACTTTTGGATCCTGTGTGCAACATAGTATCTGCTTCTTTACATACAATTTTCTTCACAACCATAAAGCTCTTAAGCATATTTCTAATTCACAGGTGTCATTACATTTCACTCAGTGTATATTTCTTTAATAAAACAATATGCTTTTCTGAGCAGCAAACTCTGGGGATGAAACAATCAAATTAGTAATGTAAACAATTAAAAGTGCTTATTCTTTACAGGCATCAAAGACTTGTTTTTCTTTGGTATGGTCCTATGAAACTATAAATACTAAAAGTTTCAAACAAAGATTTATTGAAGTGGGGAAAAGCATTCGCTTTGGTAGGCACTGCTTCCTGGGGATAGCCAAATCAATACTATTCTGAAACTCTGAGGCAATCTTTGATGCAGCTTTTCCTCATGTAACTGATATGTCGTTTGAAATGTACAAACCAAGTTCAACATAGCTACTATTTCTCTCTTGCAAACATTTTTACCCCAGTCCCTGGGATCCCCACCCCCACCCCCAAAAAGGAATATTTATCCATGTTTAATACTTATTTTAATATAAAATAAATTAAATGGGATTACTGATTTTGCAAATGCATTAATAACTGCGGTGTACTAAGTGGCAATTATTGCAACTCAAGTACTGTGGGGCCCTTGGCAACCTGTATTTGTATAATCCTAGACAGACAACATAAGCATTTATCAAGTATGTACTAGTGCATCATACATGGCATGATGGAGGAGGAATGTAAGCATAAGCATAAAACCCACAAAAAAATGTTAAGTGATCAACAAAACCCTCAATAGTAAAGAAGACAGAAGAGGATGAGTTGTCAAATCAGGCACTTCAAATATGCAACAAAATTTCATTTTAATGTATGCTAATTCCTGCACATTTGGCCTTTCTTAAAGAGCACTCAGAAGCAAGTGCCTGCAATAGACTGGAAAAACAAAGAGAGTTTCCAGTTTGATCACACTAAATACCTGGGATGTAGATGTAGTTTCAAGTACAGGCAAAGGTTTGTGAGTTGGCAGAGTCGGTGAGGAGGCAACAGCTGGGTGTTTCATAGGCATGCCGACTCTGGCTGCAAAAATAAAGAGAAAAGGGAAATTAATCTGTTAGGCAATAGATAAGTCAGAAAAAATAAGGTATGGAGCAACTTTTCTCTAGTCAGTTAGGCTAATTCCTGGTACCTTTACATTAGATTGGGGAAGTTGCCTTAAATATCCTTCAATGTATTGAGGTATAGCTATTAATTATTTTGCCAGACATAAGCACTGCATGTTTTTTGAGGATCCAGAAGTACACATCTTTTTTCTAAATTCTTACTTGCACTTAGTTCTCTCCTACAATGCTTTACTTTTTCTGTGCAATGAGAAAAATGAAGAAAATTCTGCCTCTCCCGTAAAAGATCTTGGGTAAAGGAGAAAGCCGGGGTGAAATAAGGAAATAGTCAGAGCAGACCTGAGTTGCATTATAGGTTCAAGACCAATATTCTACCCACAACCTTAGGACCAAAGTCCAAAGCAAAGGGGTGACAGAGTCTTGCGATATTCCATTATTATTTCAGACATATTTGGAAGGAAGACCACAGCCAAACCTAACATTAAACAAGGTCAAAGGGATAGCTAAGTTTTTTGAACATATTACTTATCCTTTTTTACTGCCATAAGTAAGAAGTGTCATTAACGGGAGTTTCAGTTGGTTATGGTGTTAGTACCTACACTCCACACAAACACCAAACTCAGAGCTTTTTAAAATTTCATCCTGCTTACTATCGAATGTTTACAGGACAGACACAGACTTCAGAGGATAATTAGGACTGCAGAAAAAAAACAATTACTACCATCCTCCCTTCCATCCAGGACCTGTATACTGCACGAGTCAAAAAGAGGGCTGTGAAAATATTTATAGACCCCCTCAAATCCCGGACATAAATTGTTTCAACTCCTTTCCTCAAAACGATGCTATAGAGCACTGCACACCAGAACAACTAGACACAAGAACAGATTTTTCCAAATGCCATTACTCTGCTAAACAAATAATTCCCTCAACACTGTCCAACTATTTACAAAGTCTGCATTACTATTACTATTAACCTTCTCATCACTCATCACCCATCCCCTCCCACTTGTGACTGTATGACTGTAACTTTTGTCGCTTGTATCCTTACGATTTATACTGACTGCTTCCTAGTATGATTTGATTGTTTATTGTACCCTTTGACTATTATTAAGTGTTGTACCTTATGATTCTCTACTCTTGACAAATGTATCTTTTCTTTTATGTATACTGAGAGCATTTGCACCAAGACAAATTCCTTGTGTGTGTCCAATCACACTTGGCCAATAAAGAATTCTATTCTATTCTATTCTATTCTATTCTATTCTATTCTATTCTATTCTATTCTATTCT